ACGATTTTTTTTAAATCCCCTAGAACTCTCCGTAAGACACAATGTATATTTTACCTCTACATAACGAACAAACCATAACAACGACCTTGATTTAACGAAATTTTGTGATTTCGGCTAAAAAAAGACACCTCAATATAACGAATTTATCATTGTCAGAACCTCTACATTGCGAATTTAACCTCTGCATAACGAATTGTCTACGTCTTTCTCTCGATATAACAAATCCCCCACCCAATTATTGTTTTGGGAAAATCTGTTTTTTTTATCAAATGAAATGGAAAGGTCACGTCATCGCTTGCGCTAACATTCGTCTGCTCCGTTTCACATCCTTTTGTCTGCTGTCGCTGCGCGCGTTATGTTGCAACTGAGAACTGATTTCATTCACTGACTACTGATGATGACGTAATGTTTAGTAGCTGTGATTGGGCAATATGGGATAGCTATGGTGAATTGTACAATTTTTGGATAAAGAGAAACCTAAGAAAGAATATAAAAACAAAACCAAAAAGAAAGAATAGCAACATCGTTATTTTCACATTCCTTTTACGAGTGTTTTTATTATCCTTAAGTTGGCTATGATTATACACTTTTATAATGGCTTATCTAATAATTTTTTGTTTTCATTCGATTTGTTTCAACTAGCAATACTAATGCTACAGTAGATGATTATTATTGAGATTCCTCTGTTGTGATAAATCAGTACTGTACTGTAAGTAGCCTACCGACCTAACACGAGCAGTAACTTACAAAACTCTCTACTGTTTTGTTTTGTTCTATACGTGGTTTATGACTATACAATACAGTGTTTGGCTAGGTTTTAGGAGGGTTAGATTAAGCTGTGATTTGAAACATACAGTTTGTAGCCTATACCAAGGTCAATGCCATTGTCATGATTGCGCAATATTCAAGATCCCTCCCCTTTATTATGCCGTATAATTTAGATTCTACTGTACAATGTAAACACTGTACTGTAAAGTATTGTAGCCTATGCTACTTTAATTGTACTGTATTTAATGAGGTCAAATCCCGACCTATATTGATTGACCGACGCTGGTTCTGAACCTCGACTTAGTGAAATTCCTGCAAACCTAACCTCTATATAACGAACATCGTTTTAACGAAATCCTTGATATAACGAATATTCAGTTCGGTCCCTTCAGATTCGTTATACTGAGGTTGGACTGTATTAGTAGGATTAATTAATTTACTAGTGTAGGCTACATGTTGCTCGAATTCGAGCAATTGCAAAGTATTACAGGAGTTATTTCAAAACAAATAACAGTCATATTTACAATTAATTTAAAAGAGTCAATTCAAAGATTACTGGTGTGTAACTCAGACCATGTTTATATTCATTATTATTCGTTTATATTCGTCTGTTCTGTAGCTGCACGATAACGCCTGCACCGCCTCCTGTCTATGTTTCGTTGTCGTCGCGTCGGATGCATTTAAAAGAAAAAAAAACAACATATAAACAAATTATAACTACATAAAACAACGATAAATGCACAAATTTAAGTTACAATCATGCTAACACGATCCGTCATAGCGACACAAAACAATGATGAGTACACAAATTTAAGATACAACCATACTAACACGATCCGTCTTGGGGGTAATGTTTACATAAACTCAAATAGTAAATAAATGTACTCATTGCGTTTCATTGAATTGAAAAATTAATAACAGCAATTAAATTAAACAGCTGATCAAAATGTAAACAATTGTTCTCCATAAGGATAACATGGGAACTTTCAAAGCCACTGGGGCAGAGCCCAAGGGACTTTTTCAAAAATGTAAGGCAGGTTTGCAAATCTGCACGACACGCTCTTTCCAATGAGACGTCAATGGATAAAACCGGTTAAGAAATGGCGGAGGAGTTCAACCGACGAAGTTTCATGTAGCGTATTAATTATATAGATTAATTAACAGCTGGTTTTATGACCCTAATAATGCCTAATTTATGCCCTAATGGAGTGTTTATAAAAAATACTGGAAGTAATTTTTTTGGATTTTAATTACATTTGAAAAGGTCTACCATCTCACAAACTTTATAATAGCCTATATATTACTGAAATACAGTACTTGACTTGAATAAAAGGTATAACGACTTTTTAAACTTATCTTTTTACATAAATTTATTTGTTAAGTCTTTATTCTGTGTCCTTACATTGATTTCCTCCTACTTTTAACCATTGCAAACTCATCTATTAAGCAGGGTGTCTACCAACCGGGAAATCCGGGAAAACCGGGAATTGTACTTAATTTTTTACTGGCCATGAAATGTACGGGAATTGTCCTTAAATGCCAGACTATGTCCTTAAATTTTTAATGGGCCATAATTTTATCGATCGCTAGTTTGTTAGGAGCACATAAAAGGTTTATCAGATGTTTGTTTACATTTTCATAATTTATTACTAGAGTAATAAAAACCCCAATAAAAACCAAATATGCAATAAAAACCCCATTAGAATTCTCAAACCCATTAATATTTTATCACAACAATCAAGTGTCAAATCAAGTACTTCCAAGAACTGTTGACTCAGTAGTAGTTTAGCTCATAAAAGCTGTATGACTTTTATCCCTTACAACATTTATTTATTACTAGGGTAATCATTATTAGATCCCAAACATATTTTATCATGGAAATAATAGTTTTATAATGGCTGTTAAATTTCGCTTCTTACTTGTACTTCAATTTGCCGCTGGCCATTGCCTAGTGCCATAAAACTGTTTATGGTTTCATATAAAACATGTAACTAATCTTAAACATAACTAAGTTAAACCCTTTTTCTATGGATATTTTATCTTTCAATTGCAAAACCAAAAGCATCGGTTGTTTGCATTAAATTTTTATCACTACGTAGGCCTACTTGGTTTCAAATGATGTCATAGCATTTTCTGTATCTTTGTACATTGTTGGCAGTCAGGTTTCAATTTTTTTTATTTCCCATATTTATTTATTGAGTTGTATGCTTTAAGCAATCTAAATCTTATGAACTAGAATGATGATATTGTTTGTAGTGACTTTGCTGATATTATAACCTCATTGTTTGTTACTCAGTTAATATAGGCCCTCCTAAATAGTTAGGTCTAGGCCTGGGTATTTTGATTCTTTGAAAGTGCTGTAAAATTACTAAGAAAATGTAATTGAGCCTAAGATAAAGTAATGATTGCTATGTGTCGATATTAACTTTGCAGATGAAAAGACAATAATCTTACTCTGTGCTTACTGGTAGCCGCTTACCATACCGATTTTGTACCTAGAACCGAGTTACAATATATTCATTATGCATTAAAGATTTTTTTTTCAAAAGTAGTCGAGAACCTAACGTTGTGCCAGGGTGAATAATGCCAAATTAATCCGCCTGGATCGGATAAGCTATGTTATGATGTTTCCGTGACCGATGGAGATATTTAGGATTTTGTCGCTATTGCAGGAGACAATGATTGCATTTTCTGTTACACTATAAAAGCTGTACCTAAAGTATATGTTTGTTTACTTTCAATAAGTTTCTATTTTGAAATTTAATTCTTGTCTATTATTATTTACTTTTCTCTCTGGAACAACTACGAAGAACAAGATTAATACAGTTTGACAAATCAGGAATATTATTCTGCAATCACGCCGACAAAGGTCCTTAAATGTACGGGAATTGTCCATGAATTTTTTATCCAGAATGTAGTAGACACCCTGATTAAGTCATTAATTTTTATTGGATCACTGTTCGAAAGTTCATTCTCTATGTGTAGAAGAGCTAACGAGTTCAATCTATCTTCGTTCATTCTGGATCTAAGGCGAGATTTTATTCCTTTTACAACAGAAAATGAACATTCTGCTGAGCAGTTTGAAACAACTGTGCACAAATACCTATGAAGAGCTATGTCTACGTTTGGAAATATCAATTTGAGATTCTGTTCTGTTTTACCATCGATAAGGGGTTGTACTTAACACCGTCACTCTTCAGAAGGCCAGAAAAGTGCACACACTCATTTACAAATTATTTTTCTAGATAATTTTCATAAAAAGATTTAAGTATTTCAGCTCCATCAATGATAGTTTCAACTGAAGATGACAACAGGTTATTGAAAACTGAGAAGCAATAAATTGACTTAAACTGTGATATTTTTCAACCTCTAAAACAAAAATTTTAAAAATCCAAAAAGCAATTCACACGGAAAATATATGTTATTTAAGTATCACAGGCCTATACAATTTTCTGCTCGGTAATCAAGCTTAGGGTGAATGATTAACATGCTTCAACATAAACCCATGTGTTTGCTGATCGGTGCAAGGACATGTTTAGACTGGCATCTGACGGTCAACAACAATGCAAAATTATTGACTCCTGCCGACTCTTAAATATGTCAGTGTCCTTTGACCGTCATTTTCCGTCACCACCATGCCGTTGCGGTCGCGTCTACAGTACTACATTACTAACGTGGCAGCGGCGGCGGCACCCGTAAGCGGTGGCACCCGTAAGCGGCTGGACACGTAAGCGGCAGCACTCGTCAGGGGTGTGCCGCCCCAAGGTTGCTGGCCTAGTGTGCCTAATGAAAATCCGTCCCTGTCTCTTGGACTTTATGAGTAGGGATTGTTAGTAATACAAAAATGGTTGTAGGTAAAGTATTGTACGCAACTTGCGTAATTAGCCTTTATGACACTCGTAGAAGTTTTAAAAGCACTTAAAAGCTAAGGCTCGTAACTTAAATTTTCTACTTATATCCTAAAGACTATCTTTACGCGATTGTTGCATAAATACCGTAACAGCTGATTGTTGCATAAATACTGTAACAGCTGATTGTTGCATAAATACTGTAACAGCTGATTGTTGTATTGTTATTTCTTTGATAGTTCTTTGTTTAATTTTTGCATTTGTGGAAGCATACATCATAATGTACTATTATTCAAGAGACCGTTGTATTTAAACACAATGGGCTCTGTTCTACTGTGACATAATTAACAAGTAAATACAATAATTATTACTAATGTAACTTACCTATTGTCATTGCAGGATGGATTTGTCCTTGTGGGGTCAGTGGCAGGACAGCGCTACTGGTCATCAATGCTGAACCTCGAATGTATCATCACTTGTGGAATTTGGACTCCCGACGACCAACAGGTAGGTAAAACTAATTTCACTTTAACCCTCCGAGCGTCACTCGTCGAAAAATCGACGCGCGACACACTTTTTGTAGTGTCACGTGTCAATTTTTCGACGCACGAACATCGTTTACGGCGAAGGCTCTATGACTGACTGAATCGGATTGAACTGAATCGAGTTTGGTATCGTTCTTTTCATTATATTCTAAGCTTTCTCCAGAGGTCTGTCTCTAAGCGCTTTATGTTCTCCGAGCCGATCGAATTGTAGCAGACAGCTGACGTGCGTATTTGTAAACAGGTTAGTTAACCTCGGACCGATGACTGATGTGTTTTATTATGTTTATCATTGTTTTAGTGTTAAAAATCAAAAGTAGTGATATACATGGTGCATTATAAGAAGATTTAAGTGATTTTGAAGGGCTGGTTGATGATCCTGAAGAAGTAGGTAGTGATATTGATGTAAATTATCAGCCAGATTCCTAGCTATGGTTAGGCTATGCATTCTTAGCTAAACGCTATGTACTGAAATCTGTTTTTTGCCCATAACTTATTTATTTGCAAATCTACTTCCTTATATTATTATATATTTGTAATCTTCATAAAATTTAGAACAAAGTGGCTATTTTCAAATATTTATAGGCCTATAATTTATACAATTTCATTGAGCGCGAACTTATTTTTTTTTTCAATTTTTCCAAAATAATTTTTATTTTTACCTAAAACATTTTTTTTGAAACAAATATTCCTTAGGTTTTATGTATGATATATTGAAGCCCATGATTTTCCAAACAAAATGGTATATAGAACAGTAGAATTAACATTGTTTTAAGCTTCTCAGATCCGTTTTAATAAAACCTTGCAAATGCGCCAAAAATAGGCGGACATTAAGGCCTAAACTATGGACACTCGGAGGGTTAACAAGTTATTATAATGAGATGGCAAGTTTATAACACAACAAATTTTTTATTGTGTTGGATTGTGTAGGTGTACTTTGGCACATCCACTGGTCAACTAGTTGTGATGGATGTGCACGGAGCCATGGTGGCACAGGTAGATTTAGCCAGTCCCATGGCAATCACCAACATGGCGTGGTCCTGTGAAAAGTTCAAGATGGAGGAGGGTGATGATAACATTGGTAAGCATTATATATGAAAATTTACTTCAGTTTAATAACCATAACCAATCAACACAATTTGTTGTTTTACGCTAGAGCTAGTTAGTTATTAATTAAACTAGCTGTGTGCCCGTTCTACGGACAGGGATCTTGTAGTCAGTTGAAACCTTATTATATTCAGATCAACAGGTACTTTGCATAGTAAGTGTGCAGTTTTCTAGATATGCCTGTAAACTTATTATAGGAATAATACTCACAACATTCGAAAACACAATATCTGACAGTTCCAAGCCAAACAAAATGCTTTGCAACTAAATGTCACTCGGATATAAATATTTTTTGTTCTATTTGATAACCAATGATAAATTTAACATTAAACTGGTTCTCGGGAAAAGTACCGGTACCGAGAGTCGTCAAAAATTGGTTGTAGATAGTTGGGTAGGCCTACGTACTGTAACCTTCACCTTTATTTTTTAATGGTTATGCCTTCTTAATTCAAGCATACTTTAAATTTTACATTATACCTTTTTTAAATTGTCTTAAATAATAGAGCTAGGGTAGTTGGATGAGTTTCTTTTTATCAGGGAAGTCCCATCTTTAATTTCAAAGATGTAAAGACTTATGGGTTCGTATGAAGCTAGTGAACCTAGGCAGAGTCAATGAAAACACCTGTTTACAAAAATTATTTTATTTTATATAAAAACTACTTATATACATACATGTAAGATAATGTCCACTATAAAATACCCTTAGGCCTACACCCTAGCATCATCAAGATAGTTATATTTTACTTAATTTGTGCTTGGCCTAGGCTAGTAAGTTACTGTTTTTAATTATTGATTTTCAGTACCATCTATGACTGAACTGAGCCCTTTGTAAAAGTATTTAATAATAGAAAACGTTTATTATGATGACTCTAGAATTCGTTAAGTTATAATGAAGATGTTTAATCACTAGGTTTGGTTACTTATCCGTTTTTGTGGTGTTGAAGATCCATGGCGTCTTTATGGCATACATTGGCCTAAGTTAGTCGGACAAGTTCAGCCTGATATAATTTCACTTGAACAATTATACTATAACACATTTTTATAGGCTGACTCGTTCATATTAAAATTTCTTGATGTTCCTGCATCTTGTATTTGTATGTACGGAGTACGATGCTAACTACCAAGAGACCAGCTCCGGTCTTTACTTAGGCACGGCTTCTTCATCAATGACCGAGTCTACGTTACAACCAGTGTTTTCTATTCAAAAATGCATGTTGCTTTAATTTTTTAGTTGTTGTTACAAATTTTTCAGCATAGCTAGAGAAAAATCTAAAAGTCATTCTATTTTAATTTGGCTTTTATCGGACCTGTAATTTTCGAGGTATTTGCTTTAATAACTTTAACTATTTCCCACTTCTTCCATCTTTTTCGCGCCATAACCGCCAAATTAAAACCATTCCTACACTTTTTTATAGTTTTTATTTATTCTTTATGAAATCCATACAATTCTTCAGAAACATATTTTATCACTTTTATCTGATTTAAGTTTTTTGATTAGACTTGTAATTTAAGAGTTTATTGCATTTTTGTCTCGGACTATTTTCTTGGTCACTTTTGCTCCGCGCAACGTCATGGCGGTTTTTCTCGGACCTTGTAAATTAATATTTTAAATTTAAATTTTTTTACTTAATTTCTCTAATTTGTCGGATCATTTTGATTTTTTAACACAAGTTAGGAAATTTCATATGCTTTTATCTGGTAACACTTTGAGCTCGATAGGACAAGTAGTTTTTTAGATATTCAAGTTATTCGATATGTCATTTTTCCACAATAGGCCTATTTTAATTTAGTCTTAATGTATGATTTAAACAGATTTTGACCTCCCCGACAATTCATTATGAAGGATATGTTCAATATCAATCTTTAGATGCAATGTTTTGACAGCTGAAAGCTTGTATCGTTTTTACTAAATTTTTTTAGTCTCAACTTGGAATACCTGTTACAAAAACCCCCTGAGTTATGTGAAGTAATGACGTAGTATTGCTTTACATGACTCACTACCTACTCATTTAACGGCTCAGTCAGTCAATTTTTTACTAAAATAAAATTTCAATTACATTTCATCTACAATTCTTACAACTAACTACAGTACATTCACTCCTGAAAACATACATTTTTCATAGTTCATTATATATTATGAAACAAATGTTATCCAATGATAAAATAAAATATACCTGAAATAAAAAAACATATAATAATAAATTCTTAAAATCTAACAATGGTAATCTTACTAATATTATAAATCTGAAAGTTTGTGAGTTTGTGTGTATGTTTGTGTGTGTGTGTGTGTGTGTGTTGCTCAATCACGCATAAACTACTGGACGGATTGGGCTGAAATTTGGCATGATGATAGCTCACATTCCCGATTAACATTAAAGCATATTCTTATCTCAAAAACCCTTTCGGGCTCCGCCCCAGTGGCTCTGTAGTTCCCCATGTTAATCTTATGATTTTTTATATTTAAAAGTAATTAATTAATCTTAACAGCTGTTTCAATTAAACAAGTTAGTTCTGTTCTATGATGTTCAATAGCATAAAAGTTACAAGGATTACCAACAGGGTGCAGTACTATTATTTTTTAAAATTTATAACAACAGCTAATTTCCAACCAAAAGGTGAGTGAGCGTAGCGAACGAACTTCAACCTGGAGGCGAGTTAGCGTAGCGAACGAGCTCCAACCTAAAGGTGAGTGAGCGTAGCGAACGAACTTCAACCAGGACGTGAATGAGCCATGCGAATACTTATGAAGTTAAACGGGGCGAAGCCCGCGGGTACAGCTAGTTTCTTCTAAATGTCTCTTTCTTCACTAGGCCGTAATTACATCACTAGATTCAATAAGTGTCTTTCTTCCCTAGTATCTGTACAAGTCACATCCTTGACATTGTGGTCCTTTATAAAGAATTTAATTGAATAATTATCACACACCTTTAGTTGTTTTTTTATTGTCCATCCTCTACTTTGGATTTAACTGGTTTTTACCAACTCCAGCAGTTTGTATTTTTGACTGTCCTTCCTCTACCTTGGATTTACTTGTTTAATACATCCAGCAGTTTGTATTTTAGATCATATTTTCTCCCTTCTTCCATCAATGTTTGGATTAAATTGACATTGCAGGCTCCAAATGTTTCCTGGCTTAAAATTTTGCTCCAAAGTAACTGTTGATAACAATGTTTTCACTGTTTTTTATGATGCACAAACTCACTTTTCTAAACTAAAGGTACTCAGGGCTATAGGTACTATTCAATATCATAAAAGTTATGTCCATTGTCCATCTATCTTGATGTGCTTTTTTACAGTCTAAATATTCTTATCTAAAACCTTTTTTATTTATACAATACCATATCTTAATAACATGTTAACATAATACTTTTTTATAAATTATTATAATACAAAAAAACCTTTTAATATGCTTAATAAATGTTCATACCCATTAATGGAATATTCATTGACCATTATTCAAAATTTTATTGACATCTCATATTATTTAGGTAAGCCTATTATTTGTTTATTTGTTTATATTTTTTATTTATTTTTTATTTTTTTTTACTATAAATGACTATCCACAAAGTACTGTATTGGAATAACTTTATCTCGTGTGTATCTTTTTCGTGATTTTTGTATTATAAGGGCCCAAAAACAGAAATCGTACCTCAAACACAACCGGCCCAATTTATCCAAGCAACCAGACACATACTTTTGAGGCTATTGTAACTTGGACAACTAAATTTACTCAAAATATTTCTTCAATTGTGTAACATTATAGGTTCCTACTATCT